AGTAATTTGGTGAATGAATATAGAATGGTTATAGTTAAGAGAGTTTTCTTTAACTTTGGTTATAAATAAAATATCAGACATTAGGGTTCATTGAATTTTCTAATTTTTTCCTTGTTGCTAATGGAGGGGAGAGTAAACTCTCAGAAAGGATACACAAAACCAGTGCTAACTCATAGTTAAGAGTCTTCCTTTAATTTATGTGCAATTTTTGGTCTGAGAAAAAGTTATTGAGATATTTTTCAACTGATAATTAAGTGTCTGCTCTGCAAGCACTGTGTTCAGTAATGCAGTCTCAGAAGTTTTCAAACAAAGAAGCAATGATATGATTTCCTCCTCTAACATCTTACAATTCAGGTGAGCAAAAGCCCACAGCAATTTTACTCAGGTGTTCAGTTCCAGGTAGTCCGGCAGAAGATGTGTTTCATTAAGAGTGCAAAGGATGTCTAATAACTTCCAACTAGTGTGGGAGGTCCAGATGATGGAGCAAGGTGAAATCTGGGTGAGCATTATAGATAATTGGTAGGATTTGAAAAGTAGGAAAGTAGGTCCAGATTCAAGGCAGAGAGAATAAACACATTTGGTGTTTCGTAAGGAAACCTGGTTTTCCATGACAAGTAATAGAGACGAAGCTGAAGAAAAACCAGGAAGCTAAGAAGTAAATAACTTTGCAGTTGTGTAGGGTATGAATAAATTTAGTCTTAAGTCTATTGAATTTCACTGATGATGTAATTTTCAAGGAGACCTTTGTAAAAGGCAGTAGAAGAAATAGTAGTTGGCTCTTCAGTGTTTAGTAAATGAAATGCATTGCTTCATTTGGGCTGAGAACAGTGGTTATTTATTTAAGCTGTCTCTTGCTGCTGGTTTCCTTTGACATTTTTCTCATTTGGTATATGGAGAAAAATAGTCACAATGAGACAACACTAGTGTAGACTCAGAATTAAGACTTTCAATTTAAAACGTGTTGGTTGTATTTATATTTTTTTTTTGAAAAGTTGTGCCTTTTTCATTAAATTTATTGGAGTGACATTGGTTAATAAAATTATATAGGTTTCAAGTATATATTTCAATAATACATCATACGTATATTACATTGTGTATTCACCACCCAAAGTTAAATTTCCTTCTGTCACCATATATTTGACCCCCTTGAAAGACCATCCCAGAGTAAAGTCTTATTTGTCTCACTTTATGCATCCTCTCAGTCATCTTAGCATTAATATTTACAAAAGTACATTGTGGTTCAGTTTCGCAAATCTTTACTGAGTACCAGTAATAAGGACTACAATGAAGAATAAGAGGAAGGTGAGATCTTTGGTTTGGTTGGAATACAGAATATATGAAGAATGTGAGAGAGGTTAAGATTAGAAGCATAAGATCTCAGTGTTGTGCTAAATGGGTGTAATTAAGGAATTTGAATAGAGGTTTTTTTTTAGATTGTACAGAGGGCATATTGGATCATTTGTACTGTACATATTGGATCTTTTTTTTTTTCAAATAACTTGCTGATTTTCATTTAATAGGAGCCCAGTTTCTTAAACAGCAAGCATATTAGCATAAACAGCATCAGAAAATATTTAATCCTGTGAAATCTTGGTTTCAGAAATCACCTCAATGAAAAATAGGGCAAAACTATTCTTAAATAAATGGCACTGGGTAAGGAAAACAGAACTCATTGTTGGCCAGAGGGGCCCAGGGAGGCAGTATTCCTTACCTTGCCTGATACATAAAGTGATAGAAGTTTTAGTAATGTAATTTAAAGAACAGGGGGAGAATATATTTGGCATACTTCTGAGGAATGAGTCAGTTATTTATCCCATTGTTTGAGTCAGTGTCTTGATAGAGTTAGATCCTTTGTGACTTGAGAAAAATAGCCCAGAGCACAGTGTAGATGTCATTTTGAATACTCTTGCTTTCTCAAGAATCTAATTAGATAAGAAATTTTTATAGCAACCAACCAATCAAGTTAATACCAGTATCTAACTGTTAGCCTCATTCACTGTGTTCGTTGAACTATTTTTCTCAGAGCAGCTCACATGTCAGCTTTTGTTGAGAAGAGAATCATTTTCTCACTCTCTTTCTCCCCACCCCCCAGTATTTAAACCAAATATTTACACCCAATAGACTGATAAATTGACCTCAGTGCAAGTTACCAGGACTAATTCTAAATTATTAATGGACAGCGTGATCCCTGTTTGATACAGTGAGCCAACTATGGTTCTAACCTGTTGATGGATGCAAAAAGTAGAGAAATTAAAATCACTCTAGGGTGAACAATATGGGACTGAAAATGTAATATAAGCCCTTGTGATTTTGATGAAGGCCATATTTTATTCCCTAGAGATGGTCAAATTGTGATTAATGCAAGGTTAACATGATTTTCTAATGTTACTACAAGTAAAGACATTTCTCAGCTATTTGTTTTTTTGTGACAATTTTGTAAGTAAAAATTAAATATGTCATTCCTAGGTCATGGGAAGGCTCTGTCTGTAATGATTATTTTTGACCAGAAATGGGATCTTGGAATATAATTAGTTCTCTGACATTGGAGACAGGCAGAACTAAGAGACAGTTAATTTGGGGTTGTGTAACATATATTTCTTTATTGTGTAGGAGTTCAACTAGATAGAGTTTTCCAGCCTAAATTTCACTAAAAATTACATATTTTAAGAATAAGACACAAGAGGGATGGACATATGAGCTAAAACTGCCATCATGAGCAGAGTAAAAGGAAGAAAATCAACGTAAAAATCATAGTAAAAAGTTGTGTGATGATAGGGAAAATTCGATAACCTTTAAGTCCCCTTCAATTCCTGATTCCCTGTAACTAAAACCTGAATATGCAGGTCAAGTCACTGGCATGTGGACTCCCACTGGGAGATTCTAAAATTGAATTTTAGGGCCTCCCCACCTCCAGTTCTGGTTTGGTAAACATCGTTAAGAAAGCAGGCAAATAAGCTTATTGCTGGGCCAGATTATAGTTGCTGCAGGCTTTAGATAGGTGGTAGTGGTGCCAGACAAAGCCTAGATCTGTTGAAATAGTTAATACTGTTGAAATAGTTAATAGCCAGCATCACCTAGGACACAGGTTAAGTGGGAGAGCTGATGTCAAGGGCCAGGGGTTAAGGCAGTGAATCTACCTCTGGACTTCTGAATCTATTGGAACTTTGGGTAGAGAAGGCCAGTACCATGGACAGCTCTTCAAAGCTGCGATAGGAATGTACCTAGAGTTTAGCTTAGGAAAATTATCTTCAGATCCTGGTTCCACATCTTCCTAGCTAAAGGTCTCTATCATGGATAGGCAATTTAATTTATGCAACCCTCAGTGTTCTCATCTGCAACATAGGAATAATATCTCTTTTACATAGTTCTTGTGGTACACAGATAGTAAATTGCAAGTGAAAGTATGTGTCAGCTATATAAATTAAAGATGTTAATGTACTTTTATTACCTTTTCACTTTTAATTATTGACCTTTATCTACTTAACATTGTGTTATGTTCATGAACATTGTTAGATTTTTCTTAAAGTATGAAACAATAGTTAAATAAACAGCTGAGAGAGGCCAGGGTATTATAAGCAGATATACACTATATTGGTAAGAGATGGAAACTAGTATATACTGCAAATCTTGTAGGTTCAGACACAGGCTCTTACGTTTATTATGCCATTTAGTTTTCATAAGAACCCTGATTACCTAGCAAAGAGTAGAGGAGTCAGTCCATGCCATGCCCTCCCGTCACAGCATGTTCTTTCTTTTACTGCTACTGGAATGATATGAATGGTATCTGGTATATAGGGCCAGAGTGGTGATAGAATTCAGACTCTTGGTTTCTAAAAGAGAGATCTCTTCTAAAGGTTTTCCAGATGGCAGAAAGCAGGAGTTAAAGACAGAGAAAGAGAGGGTTCGGAATACACTTCAGCCTCTAACAAGGAGATTTCAGATTTTCCATGGCCAGGAGACAGAGCCATGCATCCATGCGTGGGAGCCATGTGCCCTTTTAGAAGGAGGCAAACCAAGCTCCCTGAGATGACCCGGGATATTATTGATGTTGCTGCCGGTCTGGTCATGGTGAAAATCCTTGCAGAGACCCTCAACCCAGTGGCCATCTTAAAGGAAATAAAAAATCACACTGTGTGAGATAACTCTGTAGTACAGTGATGTATTACTGAAAAGCATCTAACTACCTTTATATTAGAATATTGTAAGAGTGAAATTCTTCTGTCATTAGCATTTAATATAACTTTCTTTGATGAAACCAAAGTATTTTTTATTGTGATACCTTCATAAATTTTTATTAGACAGTTCAAATCTTTATTTGAGAACAGAATGCGATATCTAATTTTTATGAACGTGGATTCTATATGTGAAAAATTACCATTTGCATATGTAAACTGATGAATATAAAATATATGATAATAGGAATTCATTGGGTAGTAAAGAAATACCCTCAACATCTTTGCATATAGTCTGTCTTACATATATAAGAATGTGGACAGCTACAGGGAGCTTTGTAAGATTACTATTCAAGTCTTTTAATCTGAAGATCAGCTGGGCTGGTTTTTTCTTACGTTTGATAGATGTTTGTGATTATCTGTTCAATAGCCCATTGAGGAATAGGTTGAAGAAGTAGCAATTTTCTACCTAGGAAGCATTTTAGATCCATTATCAGAGGGTGATGGTTATTGTATGATGCTGTTATCTCTCAGAACTTTCTAAAGGAAAATGTTAGTGATTAGGTAGTTATACAGTGATTTATATAATAGAAAGAGCACTGGAGTTGAAATCAGAAGATACAAGATTGAATTCTTTCTTCAAAACCTACCAGGCGCATGGTCTTTGGTAAAGTGTTTAAACCCTCTAAGCCACAGTTTCCTCTTCTGCCCATCTATGTTAGAGAATGGTTGTGAAATTATATTAAATGTTTGTGAAAGTACTTAAAATTTGTAACATGTTTTTAAGGGAAACTTTATAATAATGCTCCTCTTTGGTTATTTCTACAGAAAGTGAGTGAGAAGGTTGGAGGAGCTGAAGGAACCAAGCTAGATGATGACTTCAAGGAGATGGAGAGGGTAAGTCATCACCACTTAGAGTTCCCTTTGACATAAAATTGCCCAGCATACTAAGAGGAGGAGGGAGAAAGGAAAGGGGAAACTGTTCTCCACTGGCACCTGAGAATACATTTTGTTATTCTTAAAAGTACTCTTTTTTAGTGTCTGTTTTAAAACAGAAAATGTAAAGTATCCTGTCTTCCCTTTGTACTGTCTCAAGAACAAAACCTCAGCAAAAGTGAAATGCCATAATGTAATTTTCTTGGTGAATTTTGTCATCACTTTTCCAAATAGGAACAACATGGGGCTTGTGTTCAATTGTGGTCATATGGGAAGAAGAGAGACTGTGTAACATGATGTCGCAAATGTTTCGGGGAGAGTTTGAGTCAGTTTTGTAGCTTTAGAAGACTTTCCTTACAGGACTGTGCCAGCCAGAGGCAGTCGGGTGTAGTGGAGAGAAGGCGGGTGTGGGACCCTTTCCAACACTAGCTCAAGTTCCACTTTCACCGCTTGTCATGCAAGTCAATTTATTGCTTGGAGCCTCTATTTTTTTATAAATATAAAACGAGGATACTAATCCCTTCTTGCAGGACTTTTATTAAGGATTAAACATTAGTGTAAATCTTTTAAGATTCTGCCTAAAAGTAGGTTCTCAGTAAGTGAAGGTGGAGGTGATGAATAAAATATGCCATTTTATTTTTCTTGTGATGTAAGCCATATTTTCTCTTCTTTAACTTTCAGACTGTTCATAGCAAGTGATACTTAGGCTTATGCTTATATCTGCAAAGAATTACTTTAGGTGTTAAATTGTGGATGAGTAAAGGATCTGGGAATATAAACCCTGTACTTGAACAGAGAGGATGTTAAAAGCTCATGATACTTAGAAACCGTATTTTTACTTACTCCATGTCATTCCAGTGGGTTGCCTCAGTTTTGCTGATTTTGCTGTTTGCAGGAAGAGTCAAATAAAGGAAATTTCTATATACTTTCTGCCTTGTCTTTTCCACTTTTTCTTCTGATGAGTTCATTGATGAATTCAACAAATTCTTGTTTTGTGCCTCTTATGAGCCAGACATGTAGGGTATGACAGTGAATAGGACAGACCGGGTTCCTGACTGCATGAAGTTCTTAGTCTAGTAGGGAAGGAAGACTTTGGATAAACACTGACTAGTGTGGCAAGGGGAACGAAATGGCACTAGAGAAGCTTAGAAGGGAGGAAGCTCACCTACACAAAGTAGTCAGGGAAGACTTTTCTAACATTTAAGTGAAGATGTGGAGGATGAGTAAGAGTCTGCAGAGTCTGATGTGTTTCTAATAAAGGAAATGGCAAACAGGAGAACAGGACACATTTGAATCCTGAAAAAAAGATGAGTTGCCAAGAGACGAGTCTCGTGAAATGAGTCTGTGTAGTGTTACATAGCTTGTTGTTCTGACTAGTTTTTTTAATGGACAGCACTGATAGGATAGGTACCCACTGGATGAAGAGATTTAACGAGAGTCCTCAGTTCCAACCAGAAGTCTGGGAAGCCATCCTCTTATATCAAATGCCTGGCAGCCACTTGTCCCACTGGACTGAAGTCTGCATTGGTCCCCATTTCTCATCTCTGGACAGATCTAAATACCACCTGATCTTCAACCAAAATGGGTAGCCATAGCCGTTCATAGTTCTGGAAATGGTATTCTATCCTTTTTTTTCAGCATCTGAGTCTTCGGATACTGACATACCTGCTCAGAGTGACTTGACTTTGACTCCTTCGCTCCCCGTAATATTACAGGCCTGCGCTCCTCATTGTGAAACCTCCCTGTAGGTTTGTTAGCTTGCACCAACCTCTGTCTACTCCTGATCTTCCTTAGTACCCCCTTATCCTGTGATGTCTCCTCCACCCCGACCATGGAGGGAATTTATAGTATGCCACATGGCCAGTGCCCTATCATTAATGATAGATTAGGCAAGTATTTTAGAATTTAGAACTAAGGAGCCAGAATTTGAATTCTGCTTTCTTCATCTGCCAAGACTAAAGGTAACAAGCTAGGTAGCTCACTGCCTAAGCTAAGACAAACTAACTTTCTCTTTCTTAAATGAGACTGAAAAGAATAAGAAATTTGGAGAACAGAGTAGAGTTTATAATTGAACAACTAATTGAGGCTTTGAATCTATGCCAGTCTTACAAACTAATTGAAATAAAAGAGGATCTTGCAAGTATTTTATTTCAGGCAAAGAAAGACCCACAGACATCCCTCTGAGTCTTAAAGTAAGGTTTATTTCCCCTGTTTCCTAGAAAATAATGAGGTTTCTAAAGCTTTTATTTCAAAATCTAGATACTTTTTGCAATAAACTGTTGCCCGTTGTTTGAAGAATACACCTATGCATTTGTATTTGCATTTATACCTAGGAAAATTGAAAGATTTAGATTTCAGAGCAGCGTGGAAATTGTTTTATTCCATTGTATTTCACATATCTTTTGTCTGTGGATCTGTTGGAAATTTTGTACTCTACCCGTGCTAAATTTGCAATAAAGGTAAAGATTTCTGTGGTAATGAGAAAGCACATGCTTTGGTTTTAGAATATCAAATATTTTCTATCCCTTGATATATTTATTACTCACAAAAATAGTTTAGCTCAGTATTTCCAAGCCTACAGAAGAATCACCCTTCCACAGTTTTCTAATCATCAAAGATTTGGAGTAGAGAGACCTTTGTTCATCTGTATTCTCAGAGGTGCAATTAGACAACAAAATAAAATAAATTAGAGGTTTGCATCAAGCAGCACTACTGGAGAGGGAAATGGATATTCCTAGAGATTGTTTCTCTAATTAGCCACCCCAGCAACTCTCCTGCTGAGAGATGCAGTAAAATTACTATATGTCTCTCTTTGTCCTTGCAGCCTTCCTTGCCCAGAGCTGATTGGGTGAGATTCCTGTGGCTGTGTTGTCTCTGCAGGAATTCTGCCCGTAATCATTTCTCTCATCCTTTTAAGTGCCTTGCATAGAACTGTTTCTGTGTTCATTTTAAATATGTGTTGCTTATAAGCTTCATTAAACACAAACTAAATTTCTTACCATGGTGCAGACATTGTGTAGATTTGTTCTTTGAAAAGCTGAAGATTTTTTTTGTTCAGAGGAAGTTCTAGAATTTGAGGGGCCTCTGGTTGCTTCTCAAATTTCTATCAGTTTCTGCAGTGATTCTGTATTTTTATGTGTATAGTTATGTTCATTAAATTCATGTGGAATATCTGTAAATGCCAGACGTTGTGCTGAATACCAGGAATACAGAGATCGTTAAGGCACAGCACAGCTCCTACGTTCAAGGAGTTTTCAGTTTTGATGGAAGAAGTAGGCATATAAATTCAGCGGCTTATAGGACGTGGTGTTTGGTGTCCTGGGGATGATTCTCCCGGATGAACTAACTCAGGCTGGTAAGACCAATGGACGCTTCCTAGAGCACAGAGCACCTGAACTAAATCCTGATATCTTCTTTTGGCCCTGCACATATGGATAGTACAGAAGTCCAAGCCAAGGAGTGTAGTGTCTCTTTTTGCAGCCTGATAGATATCCTAGGAAGTCTCTTCTGTTGAAACCAGAGGGATTACAGGGTTAGAAATGTGATTATAGACCATTTTAATAAAAATGGAATTCTTCTTAAGGGGCAGCCTCAAGTTTTAAGAAAAGCAGGATGTTGAGAAAGAACAGAAACAACACCATTCCATATGAAAATGAGAAAGAATGGGTTGTCTGCTAATAGGAAAATGTCCATGGTCACTATTTTTATGTTCTTAATTAGTCTTTGGGTAGCAAGGGATTGGATCCTTCTATCCAACCTCAAGTGATAGAATTAGAATTGATGGGTAGAAACTGTGGAGTGATAGAGTCAGGCTCAATATAAGAAAGAACTTTTGGCTATAAGAGCTGTTTATAAAAAGGAAAAAATAAATAAAAATAAAGAAAGGAGAAGACCCTAGAAATTATTGAATGCCCCCTCACCGTCCATGTTTAAACAGAGGCTAAACCCACAGTTCTCAATTGCAATGTGAAGCTAATCGTCATCTCTTTTGAGTTTTCGGCAAATAATTTGTTACTACTAATGTCACTTTTTAATAATGTCTCTCTCACTTGAATTCTAGTGATTTAATCAAATGGAAGAGAAAGGAGTAAAGTCCCAACCAGCATGCTCAGAGTAATACAAATCCGTGACTGCGCCCATGGGTGTCTGTCATCCCTATGAAGGTGGTAAAGGAGAAGGTGGTAAAGGAGAAGGTGTGGATTTCTGTACTCAGACACTCACTCACTGGTGTAGAATTATGAATGAGAGCCTCAAACAAGATGAACTGTAAAGATAGCTTTCTGATTCTCCTGAAATTCAAGGAAGACAAATTTCTTCTCAGTTATGTGTTTTCAATGTATTTCTAAGCTCACAGTCATTAAAGGTGATGCCCAAGAAGATTAGCAAAAAATGTATTGGGGCAGTCTTAGCCTAATGCCTTGTTTATTTTTTTGTTTTTTCAGCACACTGTTTATTAATCAGGCTTTCTGAATAGATAAGTGCTATAAGGCAGAGCAGTTCAGGGGGAAGTGCATGAACTCTTCTGCGTCAGTAAGGAACTGTTAAAAACATCATATTGGACCAGCCTATATCTTACTTCTGGACAGACTTTCCCAGGATGCTGTTTTCATCATGTCTCAGTGACTTGTTTAGTTGGATATCCTCATTCACAGTCCTCACTGCTTTAACTGGGGTGTGGGGGGGTGTGCATTCTTAATATGTACATTTTCTTAACCTCGGTGATAGAAATTTAAGAATTTGAAAAGATTTTAATGTTTAATTTGGCATTTTAACTTTTTTTTTTTTTTTACATAACCACTGTGAGTTACCCCATGCCCAAGGGGGTGCTTGATTTATCTATTTATTGTTGATCACTAAACCCCCAAACTGCACCACGTTAAGGTGAATATTTTTTCTTAAATTCTGTTACTGCATCCCTGTGACAGTATCTGGTGTAATGCATATCTGACAAAATGAAGTCA